TATTTTAGCTCTGGCACATGAAACCTGCACAAGACCTACAAAGTAAATGGGAGACATGCTGTTCTCCTGATGATTTTAACAAAGTCTTCTGTAAGACTCCCTCCTACAGCCTGGTCTAGCTGAAGTCAGGAGCAGGTGTCCTACATACTGCCCACAGCTCGTCTTCTACCACTCCTGCACCACCAACCACCTCCTTCCTCAGCTCTGCGCCCCGTTAGCTCTCACAGACAGAAAGAACATCACGTGTCCAAGTCCTGGGCCCCATTCAGAAGGGGCCACTGAGTTCTGGCACTGAACTCTGTCCAGTTGAGTCCAACCCACCAGGATGGAGTCTCCACTACTCATCTGTTCAACCTGTTCAGTGCTCAGCAATCCAACACTGGGCAGTGGGAGTGCTCAAGTACAGTCACAGCATCTCCCCTGATGACAAGCCAGCAGCAGAGCATGCAGGAGGTGTCACCACCAAGGAGGAGTGTTCTCCACTTGGTGACATCCAGCTCCCTGCTGCAACCCATGACCATAGGCTGGACATGTAGCTATTTGCGTAATATTTTTTGCTATAAATGAAAGGAGGATAAGAATTCATCTCTTTAGCACAGGAACATTGCAATGGGATGAGGCCTCACCTAAACTACAGGCTCTGTATGCACTGCATGCCAGAAATGGAAATCTGTGGGCAGAGGGTTATGCTAGTTATTGATTCAAACCCATGTGTTTAATGGGATAAAGGAGCCAAAGAACAAAGGAAGAAAGAGGCACCAAGCAAGAGATCACGTGAAGGAAAGTCTCTAGACAAAAGAACAGACAGGAATCCAGAGTGAAGGAGCTTCACCCCTGGAGATCTCCAAAACTCAACAGACAAGGCCCTGACCAACAAATATAACAGGCCTTGCTTCATGCAGGAAGTTAGGCCAGAATCCTGCTATATTGCCCAGGATTTTAAGAACACTTTTCAGAGCACTGTTCTAGCAAGAATTTCATGCAAATGTGAGCAAATATGCTGTATCAGCAAAATCAGCCTTGGTGCTCGATCTCAGAAGGGAGGAGTGCATCACTGGCTCCATCATTACTTCCTCCTCCTAATGAGGCAACCCACAAGCATGAAAGCATTTGCTAAGCAGCTAGGCCAGAGCAGCAGCAGCAGCAGTGCAAAGGAGGTTTGGGTCCAGACTGCCTGAAGGCTTTGCCTGCAGAGCTGCTGCTTCATGAGATCGAGCAGCTCTCATCCCAGTCATGAGTCACAGCAGAAAGCTAAAGGCAGGAGAAAAGGATGCAGGGACAAACTCCCAGTTCACAAGCTGTTTCAAGAAGTGCAGCAAAATTTGGTTTGTTTTGGTTTTCACCATGTTCCTCATTTCTGTGAGATGCTGGAAAAGCTGTGACACTGATCACCTGAGCTACATTTAAAGAACAGATTCACATACCAGAAACCTCCACAAGGAGCACAGTGAGGTACTCTGCAGTCAGATTTGGGCCAGAAGAGCCTTTCAGATCCACAGCAGAGACATTTTGGATCCTGGACACTCAGAAACATTCTACAAAATGTCTATATCCTAACAGAGAAAGGGTCCTTCAGGAATGTTCCTGCCAGGGAAATTCTTATTCTCAGGAGCATGCAAATGTTTTTTCTTTTCCTTGCTGGGATGCTCCTGGAGGTTAATTCTTACGCTATCTGCCTTCACTAGGGAGAGAGGGAAAAAATAAACAGAAAATAAATCAGAATATGAGATTCCTTTTACACCCCAAGTAAGAGTGGAACCCATCTCCATCTCCCAGCCATGCTCTGCCCTTCTTCTCCCGCTGTAAATCGCAGCTGCAGCTGATGGGAGCCGGCACTTGTACGTTTTGAGTCGGTGTTGGGGATTAGGGAAATCGGGCAGCAGCTCCCCACCTACCGTCATCCACAGGGAGCCTCAGCCAGGAGAAGGCCTGCAGGTTTGGCACAGGAGTTCCAGAGCACCTTGCAGTCAGTTCTTCTTCCCGAGGAAAGGGTATGGCTGAGATCCTGCCACGAAAGATTTATCAGACCTTTACGGTGCTCCCTGGCTGGCCAGAACAGAGCTGCCCCAGTGGGATGCTCATTCCACATGCAGACATGGGGATGTGGCTCAGACAAACATGGGCTAATTTTTCAGGAAGCCCAGTGGAAGGAGCTGTAAGATGCTCTGTGGGCATGTCAAGATGGCCTGACAAGGATGGTGTTACTGTCCCCAGAGGCTGACCTTCAGCAGAGCACTAGAGGAAAACAACTTCCCAACAGTCCTTGTCACAGAGAACCTTAGAAGAATGGTGACTTCCACTGGTGACCAGAAAGCCAAGGACTCTGCAATTCCAGAATTCACTACCCCCTTTCTCTTCAGTGTTTTCCACTCATTCCTGTACATAAACATCCAATAGTAAAGGAACTGGCCAGAGAAGAAGACAAATCTCTGTGATGCGTTCATGTTCTCATCTTAAAGCTCTTCAAGGCTAACAGACCTTAGTGACTTTGATTCCTGAAAAAAAATAAGTCTTTAATAGAAAGACAGCACCACTGGAGCCAGGAGCTCTTGAAAAGATGAGTAAGCACACACATATGTGCCTTGCAGCCCCAAGGCCTTCTTCACCTTCTCACCCTCACCACCTGCACCCACCTTCCAGATATCTCAGCCAAGTCACTGCCCAGGGCTTACCCTGCCCATCTGTAAAATTAGGACAATCACAGAATCTCCCCAGGAACAACTGAATTTCTGGGCAGGCTGCTCCAGCTCACCCTGCTTTCATCAGGGGCTCGAGTGGATGATCTGCAAAGGCCCCTGCCAACCTCAGTGACCTGGTGACTGACTTGTGTTGTTGCTCTGGGTTGTGGCACCCCAGCCATGTGTCACTGGGATTCAGTGGTGCAATGTCACACACGTGTCCTGCCTCAAGGGCTTGTTGGGAACTGAGCACACAGGATATGGCTGAGACCTCCAGCTTGGTCAGTACAGAGCCGCCAAAAATAGTGTCACTCTGATCCAAGCTGCAGTGCACTCACCTGCTATACCCTGCACGCCCTGCCATCATTTGCAGCCCAAGATTGGAGCAGCAGACTCTAATTCACCTTCATCGAGGATGAATTTTAGATAAAATTCAAACTGATTAATGAAGAGGAGGTGAAGCACTTCCAATCAGGGTGGCAAGAAAAGTGCTAGAACAGTAAAATTGAATCCTAGACTGCCTCTCTGCACTTCTTAAAGGTGTGTAAGCTCAGAGGATTCATCTAAGATGCTTCCCCACATCCCTGTTGCTGTGGATGAGCCCGGCTGATGGTCCACAGCACACTGAGGCTCACCATAAACAAGGTGTTAAAGCACACTACCCCGTGGGACACCAAATGCTGAAAAATACATATCATCAATAATGCAGAGCAAGAGCTTCCTTTCAAATTATTTCCGTCTGTTTTCCCCATTCTGAAAATTTCATGTTCACCTCTCAGGAGCTGTGACAACGCAGTGCTCTGCCCTTTCTGGAGCCTGAGAAGGAATCAGCAGTGGTTCCCATAGAACTCCCTCCTGTCCACCTATGCTGGGGAGCAGAGAAGGCATGTTTCCTCCTGAGAGCTCTTTCACACTTCCAGAGCAACAGGACACAAAGGTACTCGACCTATCTGGGGTGAATCCAGCTCTCTGTGGAGATTAGAGAGCCTCTGACCTAACTTCAGAGATGATAAACTTCTCTGTTTCTCCTATGGGATATCCAGCATCCACACCTGCATAGAAGAGCAGCCACAGCCTTTCCTCTCATTACTCTGATGGTACCAAAGACAAAATATCTAGATCTGAAGCAAAATCTTCCCATTCCCATCACTGTTGGCTTCACCCTGTATCCAAACTCTGGAAGAATGTTCAGTCTGGAATTCCACAAGGTTCCTCCTGCACCCAGAAGGATTTTGAGTGTCCTTCAAACTGGCCAAGTCAGTGAAGTTTTTTTCAAATCAAGTCCCAGGTTTGTGCTTGGCAAAGGGGAAAAACTGAGGCAGAAATAATGTACCTTGATTTGAGACCAGGCAGAACTGACGTGTATCTTCCCCAATATCCCCTGACTTCTCTGGTGCTGGATCAAGAAGCCTGTGTCCTCTTTGTTAAGAGATATAATAAAGCAAAATTGCTGTCCTAAATATTACTAAAGCACTGGCTGGCATGTTTAATAAACCTTTCCATTTGGGTAAATTAGCACTCATCTGGACAAGTGCTGAAGTGCTGTTACTTGAAGAAAAAAATTCAATGCTCAGAGTCTAATTTAAATAATTATCAGCATATTTCTGCTCTGCCTGTTTCGCTGAAATTACCAGGAGACTTGATGCAGTCTGAGTGTAAGTGCCTTTTGTCTGCATGTAATTTATTGACCTCATTTCAGTTAAGTTTTTGGCCCACTCACTGTCATGCTGGAGCACCATAACCAAAAAGGACTTTATGAGTAAAATCAATAACAACTGATCTACTTTTACCCAATTCCCTTTCAAAAGTCGTAAGCTACTTCCTCGTGTTCTCCACACACGCTAGGTCTCAGATCTGTGATAATCTGCTGTTCCCATAGGGCTGCTGTTTGGGGACCACAGACATCCATGGGGAAGACCAACACACTGACTGGGGATGATGGTCATCCCATCCCCGCCAGCCAGGCTTCAGGTGCAGACAAACACTGCCCCACAGCAAACCAGTGCAGCACTGGGATGTATGCTGAAATACTCTCTTATACCCTCCAAAACCTAGAGTGTGGATACCAGGTCTTCAGCACCAGATGCTTCATCCTACAGAGCTCCAGCCATCCCATGGCTATGTTCCACAAGGGACACTGCCTGGAGCAGCAAGCAGCCACAGGCTTGGGTCCCAAGAACAGAACAACCCTGGGGACACAGCACTGACCTTCAGCTACACTTGTGGCAGAAGGCCTTGGTACCCAGAACATTGGCCACATGATTAATTTTATTTCTAGCAAGGAAAACATAGAGAAAACTCTTGAATTATTTCCCCCTCCCCTTTTTTTTGGTTGAAAAATGGCAGCGGTATTTGTGCCTTTCCTTCTGCCCTAGCTCCAAGACTGTCAGCAGAAAGCATCACAAGACCACTTGCTTGCTCAAAACGCCCCCTTTCCCTGGGAGCAGCTCCAACCAAGCTGCCAGCAGCACTGATTTGGAATGCTGTGCAGCCCTCAGCACGGGGTGGTGCTGCCAGGGAGGGGGCAAGGTCTGCCTCGATGAGATGAAGGTGACGCTTCCCCGGCTGCGTCTGCATTCCGCTCGCGATCCCGCCATCTGCACCTTATGGCTGCCGTGACGAGGGAAGCTTCCCTCCAGGGCACGTTCCACAAACCTCACATCCACCAGCTCATCAATCCTTGGCTCCCATCAAAAGACAAACTTATAAACAGGCCCAGACGCTTCTCCCAGGTTTAATGGAGGCAGCTAAGAAGCTGTGATCATTCGATGTTTTCCAATGATAGTGGTGATGCCTGAGGCCAGCTATAATATTACCATGAAATAAATCTGCAGTGATATAATTAGCAGGATGCTATTATGCTCAGGTTTTAGGGATGCTCAGTGCAGGGGGAGAAGAGCAGCTACACAGAATGGGACCTTGCAGAGGTTCTGGGTTTGAGATGGGGCGGGGAGTAGGAGAGACAGAAAAACTCTAATGTCAAGGCAGTGTGGACTTCCTGCATTATTCTGTATGCAAAATAAATCTAGTTTTTTAATAGCCAGATGTTATGGTAAACACAGGTCTGTGCAAGTTTCAGGGTTAAAGCAAACTTTCTCCTTGCCACTCCAGCTGCCTCTGCCCTGCAAGCAGCTGTGGAGTTTAGGTGGCACTTGAAAAGCTGCTACTTCTTCCAGCATCCAGTCTGTGACGTGCCTTGCAGTCCCCAAAACTAGGAATGGAGGTGGAGCAGGGAGATGCAAACCAACACAACTCTGAAGCCCAAGTCTGGCAGGAGGAGATGACTGCTGTTTTCTTTGTCATGCTGCATCAAGAGAACAACCTGTTAATTTTGCCACTGGTAAATATAAAAGGCAGACAAATACCACTAGGAACAACTAGGAGCAAAAGACAGAAGAGGCTGGGTTAGAAAACAGGATGCTACTTGTATCTGCAAGGAATAGCTAAGAAAAGAGTTGGCACCTACACAGTGTTTTCTGTTGCTTGCAGATGTAGTGCTAAAAGTAAGAGCATGGAAAAAGGAAGTAACTAGAGCAAAATATTTTAGGATCAATGGTCATGGGGGGAGAGGATGGGAAGAACAAAGTCAACACATGCCAGGATTGATCTTCAGTTTTGACACAAAATCCTTAAGGCAGTTGTTTAAGAGCCACATTCAGGGAACATGGAGTTCCTCAGGACTCCCAGCTGGGACCCCCGGAAGGGTTTCTGCCCCATACACAGCACACAGACTCAGGAACTGGAGCTCCTGTGCCAGTGTCTGCATGTTATGTCATGGCTTGATTATAAAAGGTGACATGCTAGGGTAGATTTTGCACCAAAATCAAGAGATTGTGCTTTAAATGTGCTGGGCAGGAGATGCCCTGGAGGAAAACCCTGAAGCAGACAGCCTGCCCTCAGCTAAGGTTCAAAAACTCTTTGTAAGTTTTAAGTGTGTTTCCAAATCTGCAGTCAAATCCTACACCTTCCCTCTTTTTTGCTACAATAAACTTTATCTCAGAATGTAATCTAGTAATAAAAATGGTTTTAAAATGATCTGACAAGTGCTAGAAACCCCATTTCTTTTAGAGTGACAACTTTATTTACTGCCTCACATACATACACTCTGGTTTATATTCTACATGCATACCAGGCCCTCGAGATTTGGGATAGATCCTTTCCATCTACTTGCACGAATCAATTCCAGTCATGAAAAGAAGTTCTTCAGCAGGCAGAAGGTAAGAAGAAAGGCTGCCTCTAATGCTGGGGTCTCTACCCATCTCCCAGGACAGGGGCACAGACCATATCAGGGCTGTCTTACTGCACTTGAGGAACCCTCCCAACTCCAGGGGCACTTCTCCAGCAAGAGCCACACGCTCATCTCTGAACAGGCCAGAGAGCTGCTTTGGTTTAGGGAGGTGCAAAACAGCTGGACAACATCACACAGGGAGACTTAGGATGCATTCAACCCTTACTCTTTCAAGAGGGTGCAGAAAATTGCTAAACTGCTAAAAAAATTCACATTCAAAGCCTGAAGTGGCCAGGGAACAATAGCACCAAACACGAGCAGAGCTGAGAGAAGGAGCTTGGAGCTCCAGGGAGATGTTACTGTCGTAATCACACATGAAGGACACCTTGTAGCTAAAAGTTCCAGAACTTAATTAGCCAGCACAGATTTTATTCCCAGGTGTATCAAAGACAAAGAATGATCTCTCCAGGCCTCAGTTTCCCTATGTATAAAGCTGGAGCAGTCACATTTACACTAAGGGAATACAGCACTTGCTGGAGTGCACTTGGGAAGCCACACTACCACTGCCTAGAATTCTGCTTTTCTGCTTCCACACTCACCCAAGCACACGATTCTTATCTCCTCCTCCCCATCACGGTTTCCACTGCTCCACAATGCTGACAAACTCAACACCTTCCATATCTTAACCAACTTCCTCAATTACAGGCAGACCAGCAGAGACATCTTCATCTGTGTGAGTGGAGAGTGAGGCACGGTTAAGATTAGCAACAGGAACAGCCCTGACCGGCGTCGGCTCCCTAAATAATTAGCTGATATAAAAGCTGTGCCATCTACTGGCATCCAGCTGAAACACTGCTCCCAGAACTACTCCCATCAAGTTGTTGTTGCTCCAGCAGCTCTTCGTGTACAGCTGGGCTGGGATTTCAGCTCACCCTTGCACAGGTAGTGGCACACAAGTGGCAAACAAGGGACAGCCAAAGACAGAAGTTCATTTTGCAGTACCAAAAGCAGGCAGTCACTGGAGCCCTGCCTTCATATTTCACTCCCAGCCCTTATAATCTCCCACTTGCTATGGGATTACCAGCTTTACTTATTTTTTTTTTTTAATTATCATGCCTGCAGAAAAAAAACAAACCCAACAGCCAGCCACCATTTAAAATTAACTTCCCATTATTACACCTAAAATATTGGGAAGACATTTTGGCAGGCTAAATACTGACCTGGAGCTGGCATTCCTGCACAGACACCTGGAGTTACCCCTTCCATCAAACCTGTAGGGTACTTCCAATAGCCTTTACTGCTGTCACCCGCCCATCTTCAAGGACATAGCACACCCTAAACAGCAGAGGAGAGAGAGAGAGAAACCAAGGACATCCAGCAGCAGCGCCAGCCCAGGAAACAGGTGACCAGCAGGGACAGGCAAGCAGACACACACATGAGGCTGGGTTATGGAGGAGCTCCCATCCCTCAGCAGCACTGCTACAGCCCAGCCCTGTCTGTGAAGCTGCTTCAGCTGCCCCAGTTATCCCAGTTCCAGCCCCTCACATCCCAGTTCAGCTGTGGCTCCACGAGCACCACCAGGCAGGCAGGCAGGTGCACGGTTAAATATTTTTGCTCCCAACCTTTTCATGTTGCTTTCACTTCAGACCGTGCCTCTGAAAGCTGACAGATTTCTCATTGCAAGGCTGTATTAAGCCGCTTTTTAATTGCATTTTGAGGGACCCAAAGGCCAGCAGGCAGAAGGGCACTTTATTTTTTCCAAGGAACATTATTTTTATTGTAGAGGCAGGAAAGGTTTCCATTAATCCTCAGCAAGCAGACAGCTTCCACGCAGCTCTCTGGCTGCAGGGACGGCCACTCCAGAGCACTGCGATGATTTCAGCACTGTCTGCTGGAATATCAAGGCTCCCAAAAACTCCTCTTCAAAGAGCAGATGACAGGCTTTGGCACGAAACTTGCATTAAATTGATACAATCTCTTTAATGTTATCTCTGACTCTTTATCACAATTGTATGTGCAATTTACATTCTTGTCGTCTTTTTTTTTTATTAAGATTTGCTAGATCCTTATCACTGATATTTTACACATTGTTGTAGTGTCACTCAAACATTTAATGGACATCAGCTGCTCTGGGAATATATAATAGCTCCTTGCAGTGGGGTAGGGCGGGATGCTGGTGGATTTCAGGCTGACTCCATGAAAGCTACAGTGGATGCAAAGCAAATCCATGTGGGACAGAAAGCAGGGTCCTGGTGGGCACCACCCCAGGGCCAAGCTAAATACTCATCGTGCAAGGCACCTTGGGGGCTGCCTCCTGCTCCTCACCTGCAGCCAGCCCTGCTGCTCAAGTCACTCCTGTGCAGAGACCTATTGAGATAAACTCTGCTGAAGCTGATCTGGGGTTTGCAGGCTGCAGAAATGAAACCTGCTAAATCTACTTTCTTTGGAAAAATAAAAAAGAAAAAAAAATGTGGGATTTGAAGAGAGCTTTTGAGACAAAAAAGCTTCATGCAAGTCCATTAACCTGCAGGACCAAGCCTCCACCCCCTCATTCATTAGTCTTTAACTTCACTACCTGCCTGTAAACACAGGCAAATTCTACAAATAACTGATTTTTAGTTCAGCCTGAGGATGAAACCCTTAAAAAAATAACCCTCATTCCACCTGAAATAAACTCAAAATGATTCACTGTCCCAGGTCAATTACTCCCATTCAATATGAGTCTTCAACCCCAAATGATGCATCTGAAATATTCAGGGGGAAAAATATTAAACAAGAATAAATTGTTTGGAGGTTTTTCTGCCCAAGATCTTGGTCTTCAGAGAGCTCTCTGAGTATGTACAGCGTCATGGAGGGCAGGGGCTGAACCCTCAGGGACTGAGGACACATCTCTAAGTGCAGAAGCACACACTCCATGCAAACCTACAGGCAACCCTGGGGAAATAAAGATCCCCCTCTGACCCTCTCCCACCATGCACAGATTGCAAAGTCACAGGACAGGGTGCAGAAGCAACTCTAGGTACCAAACTGCCATGGAAATGCATTTTCTCATGCCGAAATTAGCCAAGAAAATTCAAATTAATCCCTTTTTCAGTGACATGGTTTCTTTTATTTTGCTATCATTGCAAGCATATCTTCCCAATCATGTTTAAAGGTTGTTCTATAAAGAATTAAATGATAATTCCCTTCCCTAGCACTAATTCCCTCAGAGACCTCCTCCTCCTCTGCATCACTCACCAGTTTATATCTATATCTATCTACACAGATAGACCAGTAAGTCATACCCATCTGCTTTTACCCTTTCAGCCACCCCCAAATGCCTGGTCTGAAAGCACAGCCCTGCCAGGCCTGAGGATGTTGAGAGGGTAAGGAGCAAGCTGAAGGATCTGAGACCTCACCACTTGACAGGGTAAACCAGCTCACCTCTTGACAGGGTAAGGGACCAGATGGATATTTCAGTCTTCAGGAAGGGCAAAGTCAGGCAATTATTTATTTGCGCAGGGTAAGTAAGGAAGCTCCACTCTGGGTTGGAGAGCTATACTAAGAGACATCATCTTGTTCATAGATCTGGCTTTGCCTCCTCTTTTGCTTCAGGCCCTGAAAGGGTATAAAAAACTCCCCCAAAACCAGACAGGTGTTTTCTTTAAACATCAACTGTCCAGACTTCTGACAGCAAGTACCAAAACAACAGCCTCAGTCTGCCAAGGGCAAGAGAGGACAAAGGTTTCTTCATCTGTTTTTTACCAACAGCCATGCACAGGGCTGGGGATCTGCTGTGGAGACTTACTGAACACCCTATCAGGTCTGGACCATCGTTTCCACTCCCCCATCTGTGCCTCCAGATGCACTGGTGGCACTGAGTCCATTTCCTGTACGTGTGCCACAAAGCAGGATCATCCCAGGACCTCAGTGTGAGGGGGGAGGCAGCAGCCCCCTGGCTCCTGGCAAACATCTCCTGCCCCAGAGGGCACCCAGCAGCTCACCAAGTTGTAAAGCCCATCGGGCTGAGCTGCTGCCAAACATTCATGGGAGAAGAAAGGGAAACGTTCAATGTAATCTGCATGAAAGTGCAGGAAGCCCTAAATTGTGTTAGCGCTATTAAGAAAGCTGGTTACATCGCTCAGCAAACTGGCCCAATACAGGTTTGATAGACTTGTTACAAACATCTGATTGTCCCTGATTAGATTAGACAATCAACCCCCATTCTGGTGTGTGGGCATTGTTTAACTCCCCTCTGCAATCCGTAAATTAGAATTCCAGACCTGGGAGATTGGATTCAAATTGGATTACTGGAGCAGGTCCAGCACCAGAACAATTGTGAGGCAGGAGAAGACACACACACACCCACACACATACACACACACACACACCCCCACACCCACACACATGAATAAATAAATAAACAAACAAACACACACAAGCAGACTGTCAGCTAGGATTTGATTAGGAGTGAATTAAAAACAGAATTAAAAATAAAAACCAGCAATTACTGAAGAAGTGGTAAGAGAGCTGGATTTGTCACTATGAAATAAGAAAGCACAGAGGTCCTGCCTTTAAATGGTTTGGACTTCAGCATGTGCAAGGTTGGTGGTTGTGCTCCTTACTCCAAGTCAAGAGCTCCTGTGCATAGCAATGCAGGCGGAATGGTTGCATGAGGCAACGAAGCCCCACACCTCACCAAACCCACAGGCTGTGTCAGAGCTCACCTCAGCTATGTTTGTTCCCTCTCTCCTACCCCATTTTGCTGTCTAGGCAAGACAGGTAATGTGTCCCTTAGCTGTGACCCAGCAGGCCACAGCGTGACCACTGGTGGCCTTCTGACATGCCCAAAGTTCCCCCTCAGGCCAAAGCCAGGGCTGTACCACACTCCAGGAGGGAAACCCACAAGGGTTTGGCACCACATGCTACCAGCCAGTGTGAATCCCCCGTGCTCTGCAGCTCAGGAGGGTCCCCCTCTCCTGGCCTGGAACCTCTCCAGTTAAACACTTCAATGACTTGGCTGATGAGCACCTGGTTCAACATCCTTCAGACAGCTCTGCGGTGCAGGGAGATGGCAACAGGACCTTGCTCTGCCAGAAACAAAGGAGAAATCCAGTACAACCCCAGGGCCGCTCCTGCTGAATGCTGACCCCTTTTGTTGCCTGCCAGCAAGACCAGAGGATAGCAACAACCCCAGCAGTGAAGGAGGGAAGATTTCCTGGCGATATTCTACCAGCCCATGCCATGACAGAGGTCAGTGCTTTTGCTGCTGAGAGAGGAGAGTGGGGAGATGCTCTGAACTGGGCTGAGAAATGCTTTGCTGTATGCCAATTTTTGCAGCTTGTCAGACAGGTGGCACTTTTTATTGTCTTCATTAGGGATGAGAAACATGATAAAGACTCCATTCACCACAAACCTGCAAGGGAAATCTCAGGGCTATCAGAATTGTTAAAGGGATAAACATGTCCAATTAAATCCCCTCTGCACTCTTGATATATGCTTGTGCCAGGATCAAATGGAGCTTGGAACTAGTCCCAGTTGAGCAGTAATGCACTGAGTCTTCAACCAGGACTGAAAGCACAACTGGCCTGAGCTCCTCCCTCCTGCAATGGGCCCCCTGACCAGCTTCACCCTGAGAAGCTGATTTGGTCAGTACTTTGTGGTAACACACCAAACTCTCACCTCACCCTTCATCACAGGATCCTAAATCATGGCTAAGTACTAAGTACTGTTTCAGAAGAAACATGCAGGAAAAAATGCCAATAAGTGGGAAAACTTGAGGGTGAGGGGACGAAACACGAGACAAAACAGCAAAATAGGGTTAAGGCAGTACAAAACCCTAAGCATCTCCAGACCAACCACCTTTTCTGTGTGCCAAATCCCAGCTCTTCCAACCTCTTTCCCTTAGGATCCAAAGTAAAGAAAGATGGGAAACCTACAGCCAACACCTACAGCCACTTTCCCCCAGGCTTTGTAGCCACAGGAAACCCAGCCAGACTTCCCTGCAGGATGCTTTCAAAATACAGGAAATCCCCAGTTTTATCCTTTTTATTCTTTTTTCTGCCAAAAGAAAATGTCTAATGCCAAGGGTAGATTTTACTACTCAGGTTGCAGTAAAATCTGAGTGAAATATATTGTGACCTCCTACACCTTAGCTGAAGGAACAGGAACCTTGAAACCTCCTACTGCTGATCCCTCCTGCCAAGCCCCTGCTTTCCCCCAGATGCTCATTCCACACTGAAGCTAAATACATAGCAACAAAACAATGCTATTTAATTTTACAAAAACACAATTTAAAAAAACCCCACAAACCTTCCTCCCACTCCTGGTAAGTGTTGTTAGTGCTCTCCTCACCAGAGCCATGCAAGGGGCACCAAACCTGTTGCACACATGTGCATCTACATAAGGTACACACAGATGTACATAGTATACACTATAAATTCTGACACACAAAATCCCACTTTGCTGCACTTCTGCTCAACACATCATATTTGATAGTGCACACGGCTGAGCTCCACAGGAAACGCAACAAACTTCACCTTAACTCAAAAGATTGTGACATACAACTTGCAAAACTAAATCAGCTCTGTGGAGAAAATACCAGCCCAACCATGTCACCACTGGGGCAATGTGAGAGCCTGCAGGCACCCAGACCATGTTTTGTGGATCAGCAGGTCTCTTTCTGGAGATAGGGGAAGGCCACCAGCACAGACAGCAATCTTTAGGCTGGTCACAGTGTAGGAATAGTTCACTTCAGGGCATAACCTACTCAGTAAACTGTGGGATGTGTCGCTCTCAGGAGGCAAAGCAAATTGTCTGTGGTTAAATATGTGAAGAATGAAGCAGTCAGCATCCAAAAGCAGCCTTCACAAGAACTATATAAAAAGGAGAAACAATCTTAAAACATATCCTAGGATCTAAAATTTCCACCTCTCAGCCTCCTCCTCCATCAAATCACAACTTCCTTCTCCCCCAGTCTGCAGAGCTTCAGGAAAGAATAGACCTGGAGGCATTGCTCATGTACTTGATGAAGTATTCAAAAAGAAAGAAAAAGTGCCCCTTGGGTTTGGGAATCTGGACCCACACCATGCACACCCTCAGCTGATGGCTTTTCCCTGGCTCACTCAGTGCTCCACCAACAGCAAACTGCAACATCTGGGCTCCCAAAGAAGCTCCCAAAGAAGCCACAGCCTGTACGTATTTCTCTGGGCACATACAAAGGCAAAGAGGGGTCTGAACACACTGAAAAACTGAAGAGGAGATAGGAAATAAAGTTGAAAAAGTGACAAAGAAACTACTTGTCAAAAAAAACAACCTGATGAATTCTAGTCTCAGATGATGTAAAGCCATGAGCCACCCAGCTGTGATTCCCAGCACAAGAAAAACCCAAGGGGAATTTGTAGTCATTTGGTAATGTACAACTTCACTCCTTTCCACGTCTTACAAAAGGTGACTTTTTTAGCCCTAACAAGGACAAGCTCATGAGTGTGGACAAGAGCAGCCCATTAAACTCCCACCCAGCCAGGAAACCACCTACTGCTTCCTTACACCTCACCTACTGCTCTGGAACTTCCCCCACAATGCAATACACAGGGTAAATGTAATGTCATCTCCTTCAGGAGTCACTCCACCTTAGTCTTTTGCTTCCAGTTCAAAGGAAATTAGATGCACTTTTGGTATTGAAGGCCATCTTTTTTACCTCCCCCCCTGTTAAAGCTTGGGAATAAAAAGCAGCTGGAACTACAGAGCCCAAAGGTGACTTGGAGGCCAGGCTTGAAGCAATGAAATCATCATGGACAAAGGACACTGGAAAAAGCAATTAGTGCTGGTGCAAATCCATGGCAAACAACAGCCATTGTGTGGGACATGGGGTAGAAGTCCCCCAGGATCCTGCTGTAGATACTCCAGTGCCAGGTGGGGATTGCAAAAATATCTTCCTAGGACTTTTTTTGTCCCATGATGAGACTGTCATCTGATATGATGCTCTGGAACAAAAAGGGAGAGGTTATTTGGTTATCCAAATAACCAGCCCCTTGTATGTGCCTTCTTTTAGGAAGGAATCACCCTCTCTGCCACACCCCCCTGGCTCCAGCACACTTCCAAAATGCATGTGGGAAATCAGAGTGTCCTGTTAGTGCCAGATCCATGCCACAGTGCTGCACAGTGGCTGTCGAGGCCAGATGGGTTCAGTTTCCTTGTGCTTGACTTCTGCCCCTTAGAAACACAACACACAAGGTAAGAAACTATATTAATAAATGTTCTGCATATAGTTTAATAAAGACACATTAATACTTTCACTTAGAGGAGAACAGGTTCTTTGATGGCTGGACTGAATCACCACCTAATCAGAACAGTGCTCTGAACTGTGCACCCATGGTCTGTGCCCTAAGGCTTGTGAGCACCTTCCTGCAAAGCCCCACTGAGGCCCAGGCAGCATCCCTTCTCTCTCCTGCAGCAAAGGAGGCAGGCATGTCTCCTCAGGAGAGTGAGCACGAGTGACAGGGCAGTCCGTACATCAAGGAGAGACTCCATTTCTCCCTCCTCACCTGCCCTCGCCAATACATGGATTCCTACCTGACTCAGATACTGAAAAATATGTTTCAAGAAGTCATAATCACTCTTGTGAGTCATGAGAGAAGAGGAGGAAATGACTCCAGGAGAGATGATTCAACTAAAGGGAGAGTTGAGACAGATGAAAACAGGCAGGAGAATGGAAGAAGCTAAGGGAGCCCCACTGTTTCAAAGAAGCTCAGCAAAACGTGGAAGAAATTTAGAAGATTAAATTTCTCTTTCCCCATCAATTTCCCCATTTCCAGATTTTGTTGTTAGTACCACCAATCCAAAATGTCAAGAATTTACATGGAAACTGGATGTAAAAGTCTGCTCCATCTAAGAGTGCACTCTGAAGGAGTCCTCTTGAAAGACTAATTTAGGTCAAGGGTTCATTGTTTCCACTATAAAGACAGCACCACATGCTGTTACCTAACCAGCACTGCCAGAATCACCCCTGTGACAGGTGAGCCCTTCACAGCACACCAGAGAGTCCTGCTCAAAAACCCAACAAAAAAGAAAGACATTTGTAAGACAAACAAGGTTATTTGTACCGTGGGCACAGTTCAACCCTTGATCTAGCACCAAAAGATGCACAAACTCTCTATAAGTCTGTGTGACTCAGAGCAAAGGGCAAAGAAAAACAGTGTGACTGATGAGCTGAAATTCAAATGTCACAGTGGAACCACTCAGCACAGTCACGCTGTGTAACTCAGGGTTATTACCCTGTGCATCCCACGGGAGCCATGAGTTGTCCAGGTGTGTATCGAGTTTGCAACAACCTTCTGTCACCTGTGTCTTCCTCCAGCATCTGTAGGTGCTGAACATCTCTGGAACATTGCATGTGATATAAGCTGAAGTATGCACAAAAACTACATGAGCAAGGCTGCAAGTTCATATTAAGTAGAAAATTGGTCTCCCTGATTTTCACTTCCATGATCCCAAATGCAGTGCTGACACCTCTTTAGTCCCACTTCAGCTCCTTCCATTCGAGCTAAAACACTTGGTGTGAGTCCCAAGTAGGATTATTCTTTATCCTAGAGTAAGAAATTGGGTCAACAAGAATCTTCTTCACCCAAGTCCCTACAGTTACCATCTCTGTCAGGCACTGTGGACAACCTCACACCATCTGGACACTCAGACCAGACTCTGACCACCCTTGACTGAGATCCTATCTTGAATCTTGAGACTCCCCTGGCCCACATGGGTGTCCTGTGATTCCTGCTGCCCACCTTCTCCAAGCTGCTACTTCTTACCTGCTGCAGAGACAGCTCACTTCCAAACTCCCACTGCCCTAATTACACCTCATTTACTGCAATATCCCTTCTCTCACCACAGCACATTTCCCTGTGCTCCCATTCCTGTCTACCAGGTTGAAGGGTGACCAGGTCTTTTTGGCTGCAGTGCCTCTGTGGACACATCAGCTGTTCTACCTGTTCCAAGCTTTCCCCTTCTCTATCACCCTGCAGCCACCCTTTCAGTGAATCAAGCTAAAATCTGCATCCAGCTGACCACACTGCCAGATGCCCACTGAACAATGGCATGCCACTGCTAAAATTGTGCTTTAGAGAGGACACCTCACTCCTGGAGGGGAAGCATCCATACCCCTCTGCAGTGGAGAAGGTTGTCCACCTCTCCAGGAAGGCAATTACTTGTCTCAGACCAAGTAGCAGAGCACAGCCCTGCTGCCACCTCGTTACAGCCACCACTGGGGCTCAGCTCCCAGGCACTGGCACAAACCCTCCAAGTGCATCATCTCCTAAACAGGAAGGGCTCCAAAACACTTCCATGAGTGACAGCAGGAACACTGCAGTACCTCTGCTTCCAGTGCACCTCCAGTTAAATGACTGGATCAAATTGCTGCCAGGCTTTTGCTGTCACTTGTATTCTTATGGCAGCACCTTCAGGTGTTTGCATGACGGTGGGAGGAGATAAAAATCAAGAAGATACCTAGAGTGCATCCCCACATGACACATCCTTGCCTCACATGCTCCATATGAATCTGTCCAACTGCAGGATGCAGTTGCCAGAAAAGGCCATACAATCATAGAAATCACTCTGAAGCTGAGATCATACTGCTATGCCAGCATCAACCTTCTTGTTTAAACTGAACATCTCCATCAAAGGATCAGCACACAGGCCCATCTCCTTACCTTTAAAGCACGGACTTTCTTGGCCAAGAGACTCTCAATGTCCCCTGCAACCTTCTCCACCAATTTCCTGGGCACATTCTCCTTGACTTCAAACAGGTTTTTATTGTCGTCGTAGATCTAAGAGGGGAAGCAAAAGACAGTCAATATTAGTGAGGAGTACAGCAGTCTTCCTACAGAAAAGCTGATCCTCTAACAGAGGATCTAGCAATGTGGATTAGGTAACAATATAAGCTTTGGAAATGAGGGGAGCAAGAGAAAAAAGGCTTTGCAATCAGAAAAGACAGAAATTCAGCCACCTGCTGCCCACACTGCTGGCTCTATAGCTGCCTGCTTTCATGCTTGCAGGCAATGAGCATCCCACCCTCTCACTCAAAAGCTGAGCTGCCCATCCCTGCCTCTGCTGAGCCACTCCTATGGCACAGGCAGAGCCACCACGCTTGCTGCTGCGCCCTCCCTCACCCAAAGGCATCCCCAAAGCCCACTGACCACCTCCCCAAAGCCACCTGCTGAACCTGGCAAGTGCAAGCCCAACTCCCTGCCCGCCCCCAGCACTGCCTGCAGGGTTTGCTGTGTGCAGGGCCTGGCAGCACTGGGGCAGCAGGGCAGCCCTGGGTACCAGGAACGGGAACAAGGGGATCAAATGAAGCAGGATAAAACCCACATCTCCAACCAAGGCATAGTAATTTGGCACCCTCAAGAAATCAGAATTTCTACAACCAATCCAGAACTTGGCCAGGCTGTGGTGGGTAGAGGCACAAATCGATACAGGATTATTCTGAAGGGCAATCAATCATCTGTATTTGAATGCACCCAAAGCAGCAGCAATGGCCTGCAGGCACATCATATAACTGCAGGGAACAACCCCAGACCCAAGGGAAGTACTGTTGGCATCAGCACTGCCTCAAGAAGAAGGGATCAGTCCCACCAGAAGACTTCACAACCACAAACTCCTCAGTCAGCTCCTCAGATGATTTTGTGACTTGTTAACTCCACCTGTCTGCAGACCCAGATGCAGCCAACACAGGGTCAAAGGGAAGAGTTTATTGCCATCATCTGAGATTAGAAAAAAAACATTCCTCATGCCTTATCTTTTCTTAAGTAAGCTACATGAAGAAAACCACAAAGCAAACAGGATTCTGCTTCTCTCTTTATCCTCAGGCTACTTGCAAATATCGTCAGCTCCAGACATGGAGACATATGGGAACAGAGAACTCTCCAAGGAGAGCTGGACCTCCCCAAGGAGGTAGCAGACTCCACGCTTAACTGCAAGTTCCATGCTAAGCATGTCTGGCACCTACCCAAGCTTGCATGATCCTTAGGAGCTGAATCATGCTTCCCACGGGACAAAACCCTCTCTTTGCTGGAGCTTCATTACAAGTGAAAGACTCTGCCTGTAAGTGGTGGTTTGTTGCACACCTGGCCATGAGGACCAGGGGTTGCAGAAGCAATTTCTTGTGACACATCTGCCCTGGGTCTCAGAGCAGCAGCCAAACACAAACATTAAACAACCAACTTCCATGTGACAAACACATACCCAGAACCTCCTCCATTCCACCCAGGACTAAGGAGAGGCTCAGCCAGAGACACCCACCAGGCTCATAACATCACAGCTCTTTCTCTTGGTGGAGCCAGCAAAAGTAAAGGTAAAAAGGCAGGGAGGTGCCCAGGATCTGGACAGTGACACATCACAAAGCTCAGGGACATAATGAGACCCTAGTAGTTTCCCTCTAGCTGGGAAACTACTTACTGCCCTCTCTTCTTTCTCCACACCTTATAATGAGTTGGAGGAGCCAACAACTCCATTTGCTGAAGGTAGCTGACAATAAATTCAAGAGTCAGAGCAGAGACATCCCCCAGCTCCAGCCTCTCTTTCCCTTTCATGGTTAAATTAAGCAGTTTCTGAGGCTGAAGCCACAGGAGTACACTGAGAGACTAAGCACAAATCTGCTCCTTCAGCTGTGCACAGCTCCAGACCTCCTGGGTTCATCTCCAGGCTTCCACTTTGCTTTCGGCAGCTCTCGCTGGGGCCTGCCTGCCCAAGCTCCTCCTTTCTTCCATGGCACTAGGAAATTCCTAACAGCAGTCTCTTCCAGCAGCCTTATGTCCAATATATACCATTACTCCATTCTAGCTCTACTTCAGCAACTGCTTTTTTCCCCAAAAAAAGCCCCAAGGGATTCATGTTGCCTGCCCTGGCTGCCAGGACACTAACCCATCCCACCTCTGTCAGTGGAGCAGCACACAAAATGCTCAGATCTGATAGTTTCTGAGGTTTCTGGAGAAAACAGAATTTCTGTGAATTTTTGTGGTTACTGACTTGCAAGAACATGGCCAATGAGCCAAGAGCAAAGAGCCAGACTGTGATCTGTGATCCTCATCTGACTCCTCAGTCCCTAAGAGACGCACGGAGTGTGGCTCCAGTGCCCTCCCCAAGGCTCTGCTCTTGTATGCCCCACGCCTGTCCCTTCCAACCCAAACCACCCATACTTCACATTAATTTGGCAACTCCTTTGTTATTACAAGTGATCACACTCTGATCACAGGGACTCCGAAGTGTAAGAGAAGAGATTTAAGAGGCATCCCCAGACTCCAGAAGAAATTATTTCATATAATGGTTTGGGTTGGAAAGGACCTTAAATACCATCTCATTCCACGCCCCTGCCATGGGCAGAGACCCCTTCCACTATCCCAGGTTTCTCCAAGCCTTGTCCAACCTGTCCTTGAAAGTTTCCAGGATGGAGCAGCTACAGCTTCTCTGGGCAAGCTGTGCCAGGGCCTCACCACCCTCACAGTAATTAATTTCTTCCTAATATCCAATCTCAACCTCCCCTCTTTCAGTGTGAAGTCATTCCCTCTTGTCACACCACGGCTTTGCCCAAAGTCCTTCTCCAGCTTTCTTGGAGCCCCTTTAGGCAGTGGAAGGGGCTCTAAGGTCTCCCCAGAGCTTTCTGTTCTCCAGGCTGAACACACCCAGCTCTCTCAGCCTGTCTTCATAGCAGAGGTGCTCCAGCCTTCCAGTGATCTGCATTGTCCTCCTCTGGACCTCCTTCACCTGCTTCTTATGTTGAGGGCCCCAGAGCTGGATGCAATATTCCAGGTGAGGTCCCACCAGAGCAGAGTAGAGGGCGAGAATCACTCGCCACCCTCAACCTGCTTTTGATGCAGCTCAGGATACGATTTCTAGATGTTCTTCACATCAGAGCTCCATCACACCCCGAGCTTCAGACCAAAAAGCTTGTATTGCCAACAGCACAACGTCCTGCACTAGATAAGAACACCCCACATTGGCACAGAAAGGGTTAAAGCAAGGAAAGCCAGACACAAAGCAATATTCTCTCACACTCTTTTTTTCTCCCCTTGGTAAGTAACAGCACAACAGTCATGTGCTTGGAAGATGCAGGATACCTCCAGCTGAGCAGCAGCAATTAGGAAAGCAAAGAGGAGCAATCTTCAAGGAGAAAGCTTTGGGTACAGAGGGAGTCCTGACATTAGTATTTTCCTATTATGAAACAGAAAATTGTCTCCTATTGGTTATGGGCAGAAACAGTGCCTGTCCACAAGGGAGGAAAGAACAGAAAAAGAACCCAGGAGCTGTTGCTCCAGCCCTCTCTGCAGCAGCAGAGCTCTGCAGTCTTTGTGGCTGAACAGTTCACCGGCGTTAATTAGAACAATCCAAGACAAATTAACAGTGACCATACGTGCATGAGAACGTCCCAGACAGGCAGGGGAATGAATGGCGGGGGCTCCAGGCAATTCAGAGAACTTCACAGTCTCCACTGTAGCATTTTGCTTTGGGTTGTTCAGAACGTGGACAGGTTTTACTTATCTAAGGTGACATTTCCCATATTGAGTTTTTCCTTGAGCTCAGTCAAAGGGAGGATTTTCTGGCCAAAGATATCCTGAACATTCCTCAGTGATGGCAAAAACCTTTAGCTTTGTCCAGATCAGAAAGCCATTCTCATTGAAATTCTCCTGTGATCCAGCTCTGGGACCTGTTTTTGAAATTAGTAATGCCAGTGACTTCAGAGGCAGGGAACTGCTGCTTCCGACTCCGTGTTCATAGCCTCACACCCACAGCTGTGCCAACACCCTTGGGGAGAAGAGGTGCAGGTTTTGTGCTCTTGGCAAACCTGGTTTTACTTGGCAATCCCTTGAGCAACAGGCCCCATCCCCTCACAGCCTCCCTGCCAGGCAGGGCAGGTGGGTGGCAATGCAGGCACACGAGCAAAGCCAAATGCTGCACTGCTCCAGCCATGTTGAAACAAGAAGTAACAACCCTGTATTAGTCCTGCTCACTGGGCAGGAGAAGGGCTTTGCAGAGCCCCTGAATTACCTACAGAGGGAACAGCCCTCAGGCAGCGCAGAGGAGGAGGCTGTTGTACCCAGAGAATGGGGATTGAGACCACATTTTGAACTGCGATCTCAAAAGCCTGGGAGAGGCTAAAGCTGGATGCAGTAGCAGAAGATCCAATCCTGGCAGTGGAAAGGAGTCCAGCAGTGGATGCTGAGAGTGAACTAATAAGTGGCAAGAGCAGGGTGGAGTGGGAGGGAATATTAACAGCAGCCAAACAATAGAAAGTACTGAGCTGAAACAAAAAAAATAAAGCAAAGGAAAAAAACAAAACAGTGGCAGGTGAGGGGAAGAAAAACCCAACTGTTCAAGACAGCCTGCAACATGAAAAATTTAATCCTAAATATTCCTAAACACAGTGCAATTACAAACAGCCACAAAAATGATTTCAACCAGCCCAGAAGTGCTAAGTGGCCTCACTTAAGAGCAAAGCCGGTAACACAACCATGTCAGCACATGTTCCCAGCAGCACCTGTACAGCCAAGGAGGCACATCTGATACTGCCTTGAAACACCCATTCTCTAAATTCACTTGTTTGCCTTGCTCCTAATGCACAGTAAATGATGCTCATCTCTGCCTTTAATTCCCTCTGTGCCTGTATATTCAGGGAGCTGTCAGAGTTCAGAGAAAGCATTTTGCTCTCCCCAGTTCCCTGTGAACACACCCAGCACCACGAAATTTGGCAGCCTGGGAAAGGAATGGGTGCAGAAATACTCCCGTAAGTGCAGAAATCACCATCTGATGAGCTGCCATGAGAGGGACCAAC